GATGTCTTAAGTGTCTTTCGTTCATATCTCATTTATTTCTAGCTAGCTGTTTTACATTTATTAGCATCGTTTTTGGATAGTATACATTTACTTGACACAGATGGCTTACCCTTCCGTGTCAAATAAGGAACTCACGACGTTAAAATACTTAAGAAACGAATTTCTTATCGTGTATATATGTATATGTATATATAAATTGAAAAACAGGCATCCCAAGAAATATAATTAGAAAGTTGAAGTTCTTTGGGAAACAGCAAAATTTTATTGTGAATTTTCGAGACTGGTTCCCCAGCTTGTCTTCAGACAATGGGTGTGCAAAACAATTAACTTTTAGCCTGAGTCTAGCAAAAGGAGTCAATGATAGTTTAAGATTGTCATCTCGGGATTGGCTGACTCAGTTTGAATCTGTCCTTAACGATTTTGTATGCGGCATCTAAATCGATATGCCGGTTGATGCATGCCTCATCTGAGTGCATTGCTTCCAGGAATTCGCGGCCTTTTCTTGATTGGCAGGCGCCAATATATATATATATATATATATATATATATATATGTATATGGACAGGACAAATTATATAACAGTGTAATGTAAGAGATGTATCTATAAATAGAACTATTTAAATGGAAAGTAATTTGATGTCCCGAAATCGACAGTAAACATTTTGGCAGCATTCCAAAATAGTAGTTGGACACAGTGCAGATTAGGCTGGAATCCATAATGCCTATTCCGATACATTGTGGAAGGCACATAAGAACTGCGATTTTTTCATGAAATTTATTGCGGCAGGCACTAGCACCTGTCTCTATAATCGTAATTAAAAGGAAAAAAATCAAGCTGATCACTCATTAGATATTTTCCGAGAAATATATATGTTACCTGGGAATCGTATTAACGCCAGCATAGAAGCATGTGCATTGAAACGGCTCTGAACGGAAACATACACTTGACGGAATACTCAATTTTAAAAGGCAGAATTATTTGAAGACAGACACCGCAAAGCAGGGTATCCACACGACATAAAAGCATGTTTTAAAACGTAAGGTTTCAGAAAATCTTTCCTGTTTCTTCTGAGTTTCCTATAGTTTACAACATACTTTAGTACTGTTCTAGTTAGCTAAAACGAACACCCGAAAACTATATTTCAATTTCTATTAATAATATAGTAGGTATGTGTTTCTGAAGTGAAAAAACGAGCATCCAAAGAAATCTAATTAGAAAGATGGAATTCTTTGGGAAACTGTAAATTTTATTGTGCAATTTTTTGGGACTGGTCTTCCAACTTGTCTTCAGACTATGGGTGCGCAAAACCAAGTAACTTCTTAACTGAGTCTAACAAGAGATGAGATACCCCTACAAACTATTTTCCCAGAATCGGTGCTCACATGACTTTATATGTCAATGCATGAGGCGCCAGCAATTCAAGGCCAAGGGTATTTCTAATGCAACGGCCAATCGGGCACCAAAACCAACCACCTGGCGAACTCTCCCATATGTGAAAAATGTATCTGAACTAGTCGAAAGCCAATTAAAAACACCAGATACACGTAGCACACCAGCCGGCAACCATCTTACGCACACAGCTTGTACAACTTAAGGACAGGTTGGCTACTTCGAAAGAAAAGCTGCTGTCTACAAAATCCCGTGTTCTGCTTGTGGCGCCGTCTATTGTGGTCAGACTGGGAAGTCAGTCCCAACCCGTGTACATGAACATTAGATAGCGATGAAGAGACGCGACAATCTATCCCAGGTGCCCATGCACACACTGGACATTGGGCAAAAATTTGAATGGGAGGACGCTCGCATTATTGGCGCCTGCCCAATCTAGATCTGGATGGCACATACAACATCGTTAAGTACAAATTCAAACTGGCTCAAATAATCCCAAGGAGTTGAAAAATTGCAATCAACACACAAGGGCACAGACGTTAACCAATCAAAAAATCTTTTGCTTAATTCAGTCAAGAGGCTAATTTTTATTGCAAACCAATGTCCGGTGACGAGCTGGGGGACCAGTCTCGAACATTTGAACAATAAAATCTACAGTTTTCCAAAGATTTTCATTTCCATAGTATGTGTTTCTTTAGAAGCAGGGAGGCAGATGGCTGGATCGTCACTCATGAGCATATGCACAGCTTCCAGATACCCGTATGCAAGTTAATTCGCTACAACAGAGACTTTAAGTTTGCCTTAACGCTGGCCTTTTGTTGACATTTGTAAACTGTCCCAAAACTTCCAGTTGAAAGCAGTCGAGGATCAGCGAAATAAGAGCAAATCACAGGTCACGCGCTTGGGTATGTTGTCTGAACAACGGGTACGGATGCTGAACGAGGAGATGAGCAAGCTTCGCGAATACCTGGGATCAACTGAAAAAGAACTCAGTGATTTAAGACGTCTTCTTGACAAAGAGGTACCTTTTTTTGCTTATTTCGAATCGCATTACTGTCGGCCGAAAAAGTTAAATATGATACGGAATCCTATCCAAAAGGCATATAGGCGCACACCAGTATAAAATGTTCTTTATTTATGGCGTGTTAAGCAATTCAGCTGATATCGTGATAGGTTTCCCTTTCAGCCGCAAGGGTGTTTTTTAGACCTCAGAAGAAAAATCAGTGCTTTTCAATAGCGGCATAGTCTGGGGAAAGCTACTCGTAGTGTTTACTCGCTTTTTATAGAACTTGATTGCTTAGCAGTCAAACTTCGGGGCTTCTCTGTTCTATTTTTGGATACGTTCGTAGTCATCAAACTAATGGAAGGAATCAACTATATTACTGCCAGAGGTCAAAGGTCGATTACGCTATCGTTGTTTAAAGTGTAAGCGCAATGTGGGCATTGAAACTAAGGTAAGCCGAAGGGGGATGCTGAAATCGTTAGTGGGGAAAGTAGCGGAGGCTGAAACGAAGAAGGCAACCGGATGTATGACAAATCTGCTGCGAAATTAAAGGAAGCCCAGAACACCCACAAAAGACCTGGCTGACAGGACAACGTGGGACGGTAATATGCCAAATTTTACAGTAAACCTAACCCTAACCTCGAAAGTAAACCCAGTCCTTAACGTAATCATAAAAATAACTCTAACCCTAAACTTAACAATAAAGCTAACCCTAAGCCTACCACAAACCCTAGTCCTAACCCTAAGCCCAACCATAGTCCTGACCAAAATCCCATCCCTAGCCTTAACCGTAACCCCACCCTAATCCTAACCCCAACCCCAACCTTAACACTAGGCATAAACCTAAACCGCAATCCAAACCCCAACTCTAACCGGGTCCCTTAAACTTACCTCAAACTCTAAGCCTAGATTAAATCCTCAGCCTGACGCTAACCCAAATCCTAAAAATAACCCTATCTCTAAATCAAGACAGCAGGTTGCCCTTTTCCGTCTAAGCTTTGGCTTCTTTCCTCACTAACGATTTCAGCATCCTCCTTCGGTTTATTTTACTTGTAATCCACATTGCGCTTACACTTGGGACCAGGATAGCGTAATTGACTCCTGCCCAAAGTCTGTACACACAAGAGCGCCAGGCGGCAGACAAATCTACTAAATTCTCCTATAAGAGTGATCGGTGAACAAAAGTTTGAAAGTATAAAAGTCTTGGTTTTTAAATTTTCGCTGAAAATGCAACCTAAGGGCGAAAATGACTCAGTTTTCTCTTTGAATGCATGGTAGGAACTACCTGATCAAGCACCTTAACGCTGACGGTTCGGCCTTCGCAAGGGACTAGGTCCACCGCAGCCTTAAGAGGTGGGCACCTCCGTGACTTGCCCATGAATACTTTTCTGCGGCAAAACAGGCATGCATTGTCTTGTTTAATTTCCGAGGAAATTAATGCGCGAACTTGGAGTAAATCATTCGAAACGGGCCTTTTCAGGCACGCTCCAAATTTTGATATGACTATTTGAGCTGAAATCCATCAGCTACTGCGGAATAACCACTTAATATTCACAAACCGCCAACAGGCAGGCAGTAGACTTGCATTGTGTCTACATTATTTCTCCTTCCCACATCCGCCGCCATCCAATGATAGGACGACAAAAACAAACTACTTACACATGCCTATCGCACACGACCTGGTCCTTTTCTCCACACCTACCAGACCTTATTAAGAGGGTCCAGGCTCCAACGCAAGTGATAGAGCAATGAAGGTGATGTACCCAAGGAGGCATTGCAGCCCAAGCCTTAACACTGACTCACTTCACAAACACATACCTCCGAATTGCCGGCAGAAACCGACCGTATAGAAGCTTGTAAGGAGGGTTTTCTATGCTTCAAGGCACTTTTCCGAGAGTGAAGAGGAGACGAGAGAGTTTGTGCATTTCTGCCTTTTTCACCCGAAAGATGTTAGTGACACCTGCTGACTTAACGACTGAATGCTGATTTTTCGTTTGTTATTACAGCTGAAGGACAAAATCGAGAAACGAAATGCCGCAGAGCGCAAGGCAGCCACTGATAAACAAATGGCGACTATTAAACAGATGCATATTGACCAACTGGTAAGTTTTTCATGGCTAGTCGAAAGCGGTACTAAGTCGAAATCCTTTTTTCTCATACAAAGCTGCCCTTTCTTGTAGATGCTTGATATTGCAGAGAAGGATAAAACGATCAAGGCGATGCAAGAGGAGTTAGAACTCCACGCAAGGACCAAGAAACAGCAAGCTGACAAATCACTGCGTGATGTTGATACGCTCAAGAAGAGGCTGCAAGATGAGAAGAAACTGAAAAAGATTGCAATCCACAAAGTCGACGACCTCTTGTCCCAGGTGAGTAATCCCAATCCTAGCTCTGTCATTCCCTAATATGAGGACTCGGATTAAGCTGGTAGCGCATTGATACGCAAGCGCTGGTTATGATTAACCATGGCGTTTTAGAAAGGTCGTTAAATGGTATACTGGACGGTGTTAAACGTTTCTTCCGGCTGTTATATCTAAAGCCAAAAGTATTCAACGTCCCAAAACACTTAAAAGACGCGGCAAGAGCTTCTTAAATTTAACAACCATTACTTTTGAGTGGTGTCTTTTTCTGGTCAGAGATCAACTCTAAAACACCGCTTGGGGCATTAATGTGGCGCCCGCATACATAAACCTTCACAGTCACTTCCAAACCTGCAGCACAGGTCGTTTATCGTCTCAAAAATCTCTACACAAAGAGCCGTGACATGGCCCCACTCTTGTGTTTGTGGATAAACTGACTGATCTGTCGACCCCATCCACCCACGACATCCACTGTCTGAAGGCCATCGAGATTGGATGCCAACATGATAACCTTAGCTTAGTGAAGATCAATCAGCCGGCGCCTGGTGGCAGAAGGAACGACAGAGTACGACCTCCTCTACCGGCAGACCGAATATCAGAGGTCTTTCTGACCAGAGCTAGCCCATTAGTGGAGCTATAGCAGGCAAGGATCATGGAGATGATTTTCGCCGGTATACCGTCTAGTTCCATTATCCGATTCAGGGGCCCACGACGGACGGGACCAAACTCTGCGACAAACGCAACATAGCAGACAGTTTTCGGTTGCGGTTATCCATAGCGGGATGCGGTGCATACATGTCCAATTCTGAATCTGGCTTGTTCGAGTCTCGTCCTAGAGTCACGCAAACTGAAGTCGCCTGAGGACAATCGCAGCACTTGACATGTAACTTGGCAGCTTTTTAGGTGTCGTCGCCACTCGAGACTTGCTGCACGAGGTCATTATTTCAGTCCAGTAGTTTGTCGGTCATCTCTACCCGACTTTGTCGTCACTTTCCAGAGCTATACAAGGGAATCGTCGTTGTTGGACATAGTTCGAACCGGTTGGGCAGACAACTGTGAGGTTCTTCCTTTTGTCCTGTCACTGACGTCGTTGGGGGAAACCAAGACTTATCTTAGCCTCCTTACAGACTGGTGATTTCAATGATGACCATTTCCTACTTCATTTTCCACAGGAGTTGGAAGGAGACACTGGTTTTCTTTGCTCAGGGTATCGGCTCTCCTAGGTCGTCATAGTTTTGCTATCTCAGGGCATCCTACATATGAGATTCCTGGCGTGGATGGAAGAACGTTAATTTCACATGCATTCTGACGAGAACATGGCCTGACACACAGGCCTTGCCAGTTTCGGCACCACGCATCGATCTGCTGGCATGAGCCTAGCTGCGAAACGCTGAAATGATCGGAATGCAGTCAGTTTCACTGCAACCACCTTTCACGCTTCAGATTAGTAGATGTTTGTGGAGATGCTGGAGACACGCCTTGATGACCAACTAATGATCCCGGTCAGTAAAGCTGAACACACATTCATTACTGTAGCATAGTGAGCCAAGTCTAAAGGTGTTTAAAGACTAGCCCGGGAGTTCCAGTCCACCTCAACAGTTAGCAGATCACAGTACGTTAGTCGCTGCTAGAAGCGAGCAGGCGAGTTCCAGGAAGCAGTTCAGAAGACGAAGATGCGATCATTGGAACAAGAAATTTATTGGCCTGACGTTTCGAATTCTCACTCGAACCCATCATCAGAGACAGTCGCAGATAAGGGTGATGGTGGCACAAGGAGTGCAGTATTTATAGCACGTGGCTGCCGTGGGACCATATACGTACTGTAACTAACAGCTCTCGCTATCACTGCTGGGGGTGGTAATTAATGCGATGGTGGGTTGTCAGTCCGCGTCCGAGTCGTTACTGGCCGTGATTCCGTCGTCCGTGTTGGATGCTGATATGACGATGGCTCAGAAAATTGGCTCACTGTCACTGGGATAGTTGCTCGCCAGCGCCTCCCACGTGACTGACTCCCCTGCCCAGGGAAAATCTCAGCACGGAATACCGTAACAGGAGGTCATTGTGCTTGTTGATGGACTGCGGGCCTGAGAACCATGAATCGAGCAGATCGCGGCTCACTCTGTTGTCAACCCTTGCGAGGATTTCGGCCTTTTAAAACTTAAAAATATGGCCGGGTCCCGTCGAATGAGCCGCCACCTGAGAGCTAGCGTCTCCCCGCCCCACTGCTGCTGTTTGCTCGGCAGTTCGCGTACGGAGTAATCTCCCAGTTTCTCCGACGCATTTGCTTTGTCCGCAACTGCACCAGATCCGGTAAACGACTCCTGTCGTTTCCTGCCGTGGCAGGGGGTCTTTCGTCCTCATGACTTGGCGCCTAATGGTTGCTTTCGGCCTGTGTGCAACCCCAACTCCAAGTGGAGTGAGAAGACGACTGCCGGCTTCCGAGACGTTCTTAACGTACGGAAGAGCCCGCCAAAATTTGGGGCCGGTTGCTTCTATCTACACTTACTTTGCCATTCCTCTACGCATACATAGGCCCCACCCGTAAAGCCCCTATTACCACCTTTTCCCGTAGGACAGGCACCATTGGCTGGTCATGTGTGTTAAGGATCACTAATCCGATTGTTGCCGATCGTGGTTCTTTAGCAGAGGCCATTGGTAGGTGTTTAATTGCAAACTGTAATAAGATAGTGCTTTATTTTCTGTTAGGATGGTGGGTTAGAGTGAGAATTCGAAACGTCAGGCCAATAAATTTCTTGTTCCAGTGGTCGCATCTTCGTCTTCTGAGTATGTTTGTCATAAGAACAGTGCTCGAAGTTGTGAATGAAAATTTCCTATCGAGCTGGTCTGCAGCTGATGCTGGTGGGAACATGGAGACGACAGAGATGTTCGTAAAGTACCCCTTTGTCGAACGTAAGCCAGCCGGCCATTGCCTGGATCCCACAGATGCAATACATGGTTTACTTGTTCTGAGAGGGTCATCGCCGCGTCGGATTCATTGGAGCAACCGCTGCGATAGCGAAGTGGGAGCTGGCCTCCGGAAACCAGGGCCCCCGGGGACCAAAGCCATAGGTTAGGAATTCAGACGACAGCAGACATTCGAATTCTACTGGTGAAAACTGTGCCATCAAACTCTGACACCTACACATTGCGGCCTGCTGTTCAGAGGGTCCCTGCCAGGTTGAAAAGATGAATTCAGTCCTACTAATAACGCAGATTATTTAAAATACTATTATGTGAGTACATTACAAGTCGGCACTGATGTTGCTTTGATTAATTGCTTTCCCTGATACAGTAGTAATATAGGAGCAAACTCATTGAGACGTACTACGAACTTACGATTTTGCAAAGTCCAATTGCTCCTAAAAACGTGCCTGTGTGCCATATATCAACACTTTGCTAGCTGTATTGGACGGCCAGCCCATATTTAATATTTTCAACTTCGGATGAATGCAATACAGCATCAGAACTACGTATTTAAATTCTTGTGTGTATATTCTTGTAAAATGGATGTTTTTCGACATTTGGAGTTGCGGCATTTTCCTCAGGTCTTTCTTAAACAATTTTCTGTTCTGTCGCTAGGTTTATGAGTACGAGACTGCATTCGCCATAACTCAAAGTAAGTCCCTTTTAACCGATTTACAAATATGAACACCGCAAATCTCCCTTCCCTAACTTAACTAACGGCTTCGTTATTCTTTGACGGACAGAAGAGAGTACGCGGAAAATACGGCCACTATATACATCAGAAGGCCTTTGTGAGATGTGTTGGGAAATGTACTTTGCCAACTCCAGGCACCACGTCGGTTACGTAGCTACTCAGCCTGCGAAGTATCACTGGTAATAAAAGCCGGCGTTCTGACAGTTGGCAACTGACCAGCCAATTCTCTCTCACCCTGAAGAGATAGGCACGCCGCAGTGGTTCCTTAATATGGTATTTATCTCATCTTTTGGCAATTTGATAGATTCGAGTCGCCTGCGAAGCCCATGCTAAGCGAATGCAGATATAAGGGTGTATGTCACAGTCCGATTCTCTCAGATCAGCTGTCTTCCTCGGGTTTTTATGTATGGATGGCAGACGACGGTTGATAAGCCAGAAGTAGTCACTCCAGTCTCCCATGTTTTAATTAGAATACTTCTGCCCTCACCGGAGTCAATATGGCTGCTAGCAGTGTTTATGCCAATCCTACGTGTTGTCACAGCTTTGTTTCGGTGATACTGTGAAAGATCGCCGAGTTCTGCCGGGCTGTCAACAACTTTAGATAAAGTCTCTCGCGTATGCTTTCCTGGACTGCAAAAGATCAAGGATGCCATTCTGTGAAGATTGGAACCGTGTGTGAATACATGCCATTCGCTTGTCGTCAGCGTTTCCCCTGTAATTTACCCTTTAGTCAAGCGATAGGACAGTGTGTGCTGTTAGCAACAAAGGGAGAAATGGGCAACCAGTTAATTCTTTTAAAAATGTTCGGTTTGTTTATGAGAAAGCGTATTCACTAAAGATCGCTTGACGCGTGTGAACGAAACTCAAAGGCTCTTCACGTATTGTGCTCTCTTTCAGCTGGTGGTCGTCCATCTGGACCGGTGCCAACCCGAACGGCGGCGGGTGAACCGGTAGATGCAAAGAAGGTGAAGAACATTTCACAAAGTGGGTGCAGGAAATTCCGCACTACAGCCGTATCGGTAATCAGGAAGTCGTTTTTAAATATTTCGATTTTTTCCAATTACATCAAGGCGAGGAAAGCCGGGTGTGTGGCATGATTCAGTGTTAAGAGTACTTGCAATAAACAACCTCCTATATGAATGGCGCCAAACTTACCCTAGTGGGCCGAGCCACAATTCGTAGATAAATTCGAAAGACAATTTGGCGAACATGCGTAGGCTTTCGATAAATTCTCATCAGGCCTATACATTTATATTGCTGTCGACATGATTAAAAGGAAAATGCGGGCAAGCAGAAGTTATTCTGTAGCTGGGGTTTGGGGGGGGGGAGGGTCTGGGTGGGTGAGGTGAAAAACAAAATTACTGTCAGTGTCAGGGGGGAGAAGGAGATGGTGGGCACTGAGGCGGGTAATTATACGCAGATGGTTGGCACGGTGGCTTTGGACCATGGTAACAGTGGGGCCTGTACGAAGTTCTTTTATGCGCGTAGAACTGGTTTGTATAGCCTGATTGCGGCCGCTTCTTAAATGCCAACAATAAAAGGTCATCGAAAGTAGGTACGAAATTAATCCCCTAGGCTCTCATATGGAACCACTTTTTGGAAATATCGCAAATGTGACTAGTTATGCTCGGACTGTTATGTGAGTGCTTACGAATTACTCTCAGGAAAACTCTAGGGAGACCACAGCAGTGGTTTCTGCCTTATTTTCTTTCATGGGTAACCGGGGTATTGCCGGTAGACGATAACACATGTGCAGGAAATGGTGAATTCAGTATACCTTGAGTTTTACTACTACTTGGCCGATCACTGTACTACTATAAGACCTTTCGCCAGGGCTGTAGACGTAAACTCCAAAGTAAAACTTAACATTCGTACCCCGTGCTGTGTTCAGACCAGATTGGTGGACGCAGTTGTTGCGTGCTTGTGTTGTGCAGTAGTCTTCCGCGGGACACAGCCGACATGCGCTAACATCTATCCGGTTCAGTGCACTCATTGGAAAACAGACTCCATTGTTCGTGAGAATTACAGAGACCGCTGTGTAAAGTTTAGATCATCAGTAGAATAATGTGTTTGGTTCTGCAAAATGTGTCTACAAAGACTACGTTTGCGGGATTCTGCAGACGGAGGCATTGCAATTTTCGAAGGTTGATGATTTTACTTTTTCAAATCCGGCTCGAGAAAACGTATTTTATAGCATTGGGCCTTCTTTGGGATAGGAACAGTTTGATGGGCGCAAATTTAATTTAGTAGTAGTGGCGAATTTAAAAATCTCCCCCATATAGTTATTGCACTATACAACCCACGCACGCTGTATGGCGTGTGCCTTAGGATATCACGCGTTTTAATTGATGTGTTATGCAAACCTAATGGTAAAATTTCATACGATGAGCTTTTGAATAACACTCAGGATGTGCATTAAATCGATGGTAACACAAGAAGACAGACAAAAGTACCTGTCAGGAACTCTGATTAAATCAGAGCTCTTATGTACGTCGAATGTAAACCTTTGTACATGATAACAAACTTACTCAGGCAGTTCAGAATTCTGTCAAGTATCGGTTATTAATAAGTGGACTTTAGTGCATTTCCTCAGACAAAATATAATCAGCAATCGAATCCGAACCGCAAATCTTCTGCTTTCAAGTGGACTGTTGTACCACCGTACACAATATAAAGTCACATAATTTACAGTCTGAACTAAAACCTATCATTTAGACACGGGAAGTGGATAATTTTGACGTTGTGTGTGCTTTTTGCACGATAATTTCTCAACTGTCATCTTTGTATTCTTTAGTATGAAGATCTTCTGCGACGCTTTCCAATTCCATATACTCCAGATCACTACTTGAATCACAGAAGACAAATGGTAAGCTTGTCAGGGTTCTTTAATATCATGTTCTGACATTTGATTCTGAGAAGGCGTCTTATTTTCCGGATGACCCATAAGCCATCAGCGAAGTAATAAGCCTATTTAAGAAATCTGGCTAATAAATATGTCAAAATCGCTCTTCATCTCTGATATGCTTATTAACCCATTTGCCATTAACTTCCTCATGTTCGATAAAAAGCTGAAATAGCTTATTTGATGCGATACTGACGATGGCACCATATCCAAAGTGCAAGTTGAAACAACAAATGTGTAATCTACTCCTAAACCCGAATGCTTATTGCACACACCAGAAGAAACCGCAACTTCACTCCCCACGAATATGTCCAGCGTAATCTTGTTCTTCGGTCATTTGCATACCATGAGCGCTTTGTGTTATATAGGGGCGGTCACTTCGCAAATGAGCATGTGACCTATACATTTTGGTGTTCTGCATGTTTAGGTAAACATTTAGCAAAGAAATGAACCGCAAAAGTTGGGTCATAATCGCTGATTATTACATGTAGTGGACAAACGCGCAAAATATTGACTGGGATTCCTAAACATGGTTTCGATTAGAAGGGGTTATTTAAGAAAGGCAGCAATACTGCTTAACACTAAATAGGATCTCAAGGTAATTTATGGAGACCAGACTGTTAGCTGTTTTGGCACCGCTCCAGTCATCGGCCAAAATCACAGTCGCTGACAAAGGATGGCGTGGGCAGACTAACTTTATCCGCTTATATTCATTGCCCGTTTAAATCCAGTCCTATTTCGCAGGAAGTACGCAGGAGTGTATCCGTCCTTGTTTCTCTTTTTGTGGCAACTTATTTTCTAAAAAGTTCGCACTTGACGAAAGGGTATATGCGGTTTTTAAGAAAAGTTTGCGAATGCGGGAAATTTCGAGACGGTGTAAGGCTGCTCTTGGTGTGTACAACAGGTCCCATATATATTATAAAACGAAGAAGATACGGCACATTCATGGACCGAATTATATTTGTACTGACATTTCGGAAACCCTCTCGTTTCCATCATCAGAGTAATGTGTTGACAGTTCCTGCTAGTCTTGATTGCATCAGCCTTGATACCTACCTCGGTCCATGAATGCGCCCTATCTTCTTCTTCGTCTTCTTCGGGGGATGATGAACGCGATACAATATCTGGACCTCGAATCTTTACCCATATCGATATTATAAAACCTAATTCTACCTGCGTAAATGGATGTCTGATTTTGTTAAATGGAGCATATGTAGAACGTTATTCAGAAGTTATAAATTCAAGTGAAACATAGGGCCGAATTTAAAACAGAACAGGAACTGGCAAAAGATACCCTTTGTTCTAATACAGCAAGCCAGCTGCATCTTAATGTTAAGCAGTATTGTTACCTAACTGAAGTAACGATTTATAACTGGAACAATATTTCAGGATTTCAGTTGATGTTTCATGAGTATGGCCGCCTACTCGACGATGGAATGTTTAGACTCGCTTGTTGTATTTCTTCTTGTATTTGTTTTAATACATGAAGTTCCTTCCTATGGATGTAGTGACAGGGATTTTATGTAGTCGATTACGCAGTGCTGCCTACTAAGGCTATGCCAACGCTTAAACATCCTGGTGACACTTTGACCCTGGAATGCACGAGAGTAGAAACAGCTCCCCACTCTGTGTTAAATTCCAGGAAGGCTACCTATGTCTGTGTTCTAAATCCAACCCATACCCTAACTCTAGTCTCCCTGGACTTTAGCGCTAACCTATCTCTGTTTTTGAGGGATTCCTATTTTCATGTTCCACCCATAACCCTGTCGCGCGTGCATATGCATAAGAATATGTGCACCCTAACTTCATGGAACAACCGAATTCTAATTACCTTCATGTTAAACTCTTCAGGTCACAATACCTCGGCTGCAGCAACAACTCGCCCATGAAATTTTGGGAGGACAGCCGCCGGCCACACATGCGGCTATCGCTGAGGCACAAGAAACTGAAAAGGAGGAAGAGTAATCGGTCGCGAGACATCCTGCACGTTCGGCCTTCCATCGTTGACCGACCTGTTTGCCATGCTTTTCTTGATTTGGCCCGGCTATGTGTACCAATGTATAAATACGAACTCTATCGATCACCTCTGTCTTGTATTGAGAAGAAACCAATAGTCCCCATCTACTGTGTTCAGGCCTGTTCGACATGGAATGTTTACCGTTGATATAACATCAACAGGTGGAGACGCAATAGCATCCCTGAACCAGATTCGCATGCTGTGTGCTGAGACAGAGTGCATTAACGAAAGATATTCCCTAAAGTTCCTGCTGTAGAGTAAATAGTAGACTACGTGCAGCGTCACCTGATTGGCACTGCTATTTTGCCATGAACTCAGTTCAGGTGCATACTGGTTCTCTGCTGCCTTGCGGAGTTGTTGGGGCCTCGACTTGCCAGTATGTTCTAAAACAACCGCAGTTACGAATGCAGCTGGAGCCTTATAAATGAATTCGTAATTATTTAATCAAGACTGGTTAGGCCCAGCCCCAGTAATTGTACAAATGTTTTAGTTGAATAGCATGGCATTGATGGAATACTAGGTAATGCTCAAAACCCCCAAACTGTCATTTAGCAGTGTAAAAAGTGTATGCGCAAAATTGCTTGCACAGACTTCCAAAATAGGTATCATCTCGAAGTTCAGAGATGTGTAGCGGTGGTGTTCCGTGGCTTTTCAGCTGGCGGATTCAACTGTCCCTCTCCGGAAAACGGTGAGACCTGTTCATTAATTTAGTGGGACTGTGTCTCACCAGGCCTGCGGCGTTACTGACGCATACCGCTTGTGGGCGGGCCATGCACCCGTGGCTGGTCATGGGAAACTTACTGCCCGTCCTCATTCTCTGCGGTGATTCCTGTTGGTCGGATGGTTACACGACGAGTTTGACTTTCATGTGGGTCAAATCTTTTGGCGTTTGGCCATAAAAAGCAGGGTATGTTGCCGGCAAGTCGATGTGGTAGTTAGCCGGACACAAGCTCCACGTTTGTTCATGTTGTGTGGGTATCATCCCGACCTACCACTTGGACTGCGTTGGAGTGGAAGGCACGCTGGGGCTGAGGGATTTGTGTCGCTAAATAGGATTTTGCGTCTAGCGTTAGCACTTACGCTTGATTCTTGCCTGCAGGCACCAGGGGTTAAATACCCTTGCTACAATACTCGTCAGGTTTTTCCAAAATAATTGTGTTAATAGCAGAACATGACATATGAGGACGACCGCGGGCTATTCACTAGGAAAGCGATCATTTGAGTTCACCAAATGTCGGATTAGAGACAGCCTTGCGAGCTAGCCCTAATCTGAACGTAATAAATGACCCAGGACCTCATGATGATGCAAAATGGACGGCCATAGTTCGGACAGACCATTTTCAAAACTATCCTCCATCCGAGGCCCTCGATTTCTGCAGGAAATAGTCCTGATTATGGGTAGGCTCCAAGAAGATCGAGGAGGTGATCTATCTCCTGCAGTTTGACACGGTGTCGAAAAAATTCTCTGGACAATATAGAGCGCGTACGGGACACATTTTATGCTTTAGTGGGTGGTAAATGGTTTGCGAGTTTTATGAATTACACATTAGGCCCGTCCAGTTCGATGTGCTGAGTGGCTTGGTGCATGAAGTAGTTACTCCACTCTGGCTCACATGGGTGCCCACCTCATATTTAGTTCCAATGAGCTGCGTGGTCCACAGTGGCCACAACCAGAAAACTTTTCTAATCGGTCCAAAAACCGGACAAGCGTAGACAGCTTGGTGCTTCATGGCTGATTAATTTCTCTGGTAGGCCCGATTCGATTACTAGAGGGGGAGCAACCGTACTGTGACCTGCGTAGATGAGCACTGCGCGCCGCCTCGCGAACAGTCTTTTTAACCTAATTCTGCCATTTAATCACTGAGCGCATATGAAAGGAGAGTGCAGCCGTGAATGTGTAAATACTCCTCAACGTGACTCAACTCGGCTGCGAGTCATTTTCACTCCATTCACTTCACTCAACTTAATATCTTTAAAGCCCGAACCAAGAGTTGTATATATGCTCCTACAGGCAGCCGTAACCAATTCGCGTCATTCTTACGGCAATTAAGTGAGCTAAGTTGGAATCCGGTTGCCACCTAGGGGACGCTATTCAACCCTCGCGTCAAAGGTCTCAGAAGAGGTGCCGTGACCGACTGTAACTGTTGGACTGCTTGTCGAAGCAACGATGGGTCGACAGCACGAGGGCTTCCAACTCACATGTCAGGGAACATAGATTAGGTTGCATAAGTCTTACTGAGGCTAAGCAGCGTGCAAGTGGCTCAGCAAACTGTTACAGAAAGTCGTCTCTTCAAGCCAGTGTATGGGAGGATGTTGGCCCCCACGAGGCATGCAACTAATGAGGGGAGGAGGCAGCGTTCATTAGTCTCGATTACTTGACAGGTTAGTTTAAAGCCCTGTGCATCACAAGCTGCAAACTGACAGGGGGTGTGAGGCGGACAGATTGGCAGCATGAGTAGGCAGTCGCGTCGGCAACTATGGGAGCAGCCTGTCACGAGCTTCTCTCCCGCAGAGTATGCTTCCCGTACTGTCTAGATATCACGCCTCCTCCTCCTCCTCCT